AGAGAGGGAGGAAGGGAAAGGGAGAGAGGGAGAGGGGGAGAGGGGGAGAGAGAGAATGCTGATCTCACACGAGATTCAGTGATAAAATTTCCTTAAATACGTTTTGGCCTTTATTTTCCTTTTGAAAACCTTGCTGCGGGGGTTGCGCGCCCCCTTCAGAGTTTTGCGCAACCTTCGCAAGAGATCATTTATCACTAGTTTCCACCTTGGAGCAGGTCTTCCTACCTTTCCAGTCTTAATTCTGTGAGAAATGGCTGCAAATCGATGGTTGAGCTCTGAGATTTTGGGCTCTACTACTTTCCTGCAGTGGTCGCCGCGGTTTGCCATCAAGTTTGCTGCTTGGTCACGCGTGGAGTCCACCTTTGGGCGCATGTCATTCATTTCAGCCTTTAAACGCTATATTCCATGAGCAAGAGATAGGGCGTGAAGTTAGTAAGTAAATGGAAATTGCAAGACAGTGAGAGAGCAAGACAGAGAGGGCAAGACAGAATTCCAGAGAGACAGAGTTCCAGAGAGTTCCAGAGAGAGAGAACATGCAGATGGAGGGAAGAAAAATACCAACTCCCATAAAATAGGAGTAGAATGTGCGTGAGCTCAGGAAAACAGGTAGCTGTCCTTCCTTAAGTCTGACCTATGTTTATGTAAAAGATTTACTTAGTCTGAGAGTCCGAGGGAAGACAGGGATGTTTTCCTGCCTTATCTCTGCCTCCTGCAACAATCATAGCACTTTATATTTAGCCTTATTTTATCTTTTCTTTACTGAATTTCATAGCTGGGGAACAATCTGAACATATGCTTAAGAAGGAGGTAGCTGAAAAACAATTTCCTATTCCTTCCCGGTACTTCTGAGTTCCCTTTTGTTTATTATATTGAGTGCCAGGGGCAAAACAGATTTTCTAACACACACGGATTCTGTGGCCCAGACAGAGGGATTGCGGGGCATTCTGTCTGACACAGGGGATCAGAAGGACTGTGAGTGAAATAGCTCCGTTCCCGATCCTGAAGGCCTTGAAGGGGTTTCACTGTAAGATGACATTCCTTAGCTCATAGCAAGGTCAAAGGAAAGGCAAAAGAAGGCACAGGCGACAGTGTAAATATGCCTTGGGGACAGCCTCAAAGACATTTACAGTCTTTCATTAAAAAAAAAGTAATCCTCGGAAAATACCAATTGCATAAAAAGAAACAAATGAATTGTATAGACAGGACAGAAATTATAATTTTTGGCTGTTCTTTAAATAGTAACCCACTACTCAAATGAAACTACTGAAAACTTCTGCAAAACAAAATAAGGTATCATGAATTTAAATGAGATGTGGGAAAATTCAACTCTTCCTTTTAAACCAAGAAAGACGCCATCAAGTAGAAATAATATAGCATTAATAAGATATATTTACACATTATATGTCTCATACCCTTTACAGGAATCACTTTTTGAAGTAAAAATTAAGTTGCCTTTCCTTTGAGAAAGGTGACTTAAGCTGTCTTAATAATTGATTTCAATATAAGAAAAGAGAACCAAAAGCCGTGTTTACTTTATATACAGTTAAAAATGAAAAATTCAATTTTATATAAGCTCAGGATTGTTACTAAGATTTGGACACTGCATAGGCAACATGTCGAGACGATCAGATCTTAGGTGCTCATTCAGATGAGCTATGAGTGATGCCAAGGACCTGATCTTCGTGTGTCATACAAGGAGGTAGTACTACTATTAAAACGGACAGCAATTTGTAACAGGGCACCAAAATAAATCCTGAATTCCCTTTCTCATCAGTTTCAGTTGCCTGCAATTAGCTGAGGGGTGGATATGGACAGATATCCAGATAACAGAACTTTTCAAAGTCATGAACTCACATTTGAATTAAGAAAGTACAGAGG